TCAGCAATGATCTAAATGAATGGTGGAACTGATTGCAGAGGATGAATGGTCTGTGTTGGTTTCTACGATATAAATACATAGTTTGAACTGTCCACAAACTCAAAAACTCAGCTTGTTTCACGCTTTAATGCTACGGGAGAGAAATGAATGGAAACAGAATACAAATGCCACTAAATCTGGCTCTGCAGCTATTGGTACAAATCCCCGATACTGACTTTGTGAATGCCTTCAGTCTAATACTAGCAATCAATGTCAAAAGGAGGCTTTAATGTAGAATGGGAGTTCAACTCCCCAGCACTATTGACTGCCATTATGATAAGCGCATTATCCAAACAGAATAATAAGCACGGAGAAATGTTAGTAATTAACTCTCTTCTTTTTCCTTCCTTCAAGTAAACCTGAACCAATTTTTCAGTATTTAGAAAAGTAAAAATGATGAAAATGAAGTACGTTTATTTCAGTTTAGAACAGTAGAAGCAAATTGTTTAAAATCCCTTCACCGACTGACACAGAATGTGAAAATCCCATCATTTATAGGTTAGCAGACTCACCTTTGCTCCCACACCAGGTAAAGTGCGCAATGCACGCTTTGCTTCCTCATATGGTGCCTCACGAAGTGAATTCAGCCAATTTGAATCATGTGTCTCTAATATCAGCTTTGCACTTTGATTGATGTACTTTGCTCTGTATCCAAATCCCAGAGCCTGCAATTGTTGTTCCACATCATCTCCTACATGGAAAAATCATAGAAAATCATCATCCTTTACTACAACCCAGTACTCATAAATTGTCTTCTTTCACACCACCTTCATGCTGTCCCACCTCCCCACATTACTCTCCCACCTCCCCACATTACTCTCCCACCCCCCCACATTACTCTCCCCCCCCCCCCGTTCCTCCCCCCCCCCCCCGTTATTCTCCCACCTCCCCACGTTAATCTCCCACCCCCCACATTACTCTCCATCCTGCCCGTGCTTTGCCATATTAACGTCCTTTCTCACCATTCTTTTCCCCCAAACCATTCACTGAATGTTGACATCGTACATGCTAGACTTGACCTGGTGAGCTGCTTTCCAGGATCACTGCAGTCCATATGATGTGGGTAAATCCACAGTGCTGATAGGAAAGGAGTTCCAAAATTATGATAATGTGGCCGAGAGATAATGAGGAAACACTGATATATTTCCAACTCGGGACGCTGTGTGACTTGGAAGGGAAACTTGCGGGTGGTGGTGTTCCAATACATCTGCTGCCTCAAATCTAAGTGGTAGAGGTCGAGGGCTCAGAACATTCTGTTAAAACAGCCTGAGTGAGTTTCTGCAGTGCATCGTGTAGATGGTACACACTGTTGCCATTGGTGATAGAGGGAGTGAATATTGAAGGTGAGGGTGGATAGAGTGCCAATCAAGCAGGCAGTCTGGAATAGTGTTGAGTGTGTTTGATTTTGCATTCATCCAGGCAAGTGGAGAGTATTCTGTCACACTTACCACTTACAGTTGGTGGGCAGGCTTTGAGAAATCAGGAAATGCGTTACCTGCCGCAGAATTCCCAGTTTAACCTGCTCTTGTAGCAACTGTATTTATATGGCTGATCCTGTTCTGTTTTCTGGTCAATGGTAACCCCCATTGTTGACAGAACCTTTTCTCTCATTTGTATTCTCTAATTTCATCCTGCTCATATAATCTCCATCCAAAACACTGCTGCTATACATCATTGCCTGAGCATAAAAATCAACATAAATAAAAAGCGAAAGAACTGCAGATGCTGTAGATCAGAAACAAAAACAGAAGTTGCTGGAAAAGCTCAGCAGATCTGGCATTATCCATGGAGAGAAATCAGAGTTAATGCTTTGGGTTGAGTGACCCTTCCTCAAAACTACTGGTTGCTCGGAAAATGTTGGTTCATATGCAGAAGTTATGATGGGGGAGGGGTAAGGAGTAAATGATAGATGGGAATAGAGCACAAAGAGAGAGAAGAACAGAAGAAGGACAGAAGAAGAATGGATAATGATCTGTCCAGAAGGGTGAGTGGCTAACAATAGGTTGTTGTCTAATAGCAGACTGTGCTAACAAGGCCTGGTGTGTGGGGGTTGGGGCAAAGACATGAGAGACCTCAAGCCCTAAAGTTGAACTCAATGCTGAGTCCAGAAGGCTACAGGGTCCCCAAGTGGAAAATGAGGTACTGTTCTCCCAGCTTGTGCCGAGCTTCACTGGAACAGTGCAGCAAGCCCGCAATGAGATGTTGGCTAGGGCGGTGTGTTGAAGTGACAGGCAACTGGAAGCTCAGGGTCTTTGCTGTGGACATAACGTAGCTGTTCTGTGAAGTGGTCACCTAATCTACACTTTGTTTCCCCAAGGTACAGGAGACTACATTGTAAGCAGCGAATACAGTAGACTGGATTGAGTGAAGTGCAGGTAAAGCATTGCTTCACCTGGAAAGGTGTATTTGGGCCCTTGGATACTGAGGAGGGAGGAAGTAAACAGACAGCTGTTACACCTTTGGTGGTTGCAGGCAAAGGTGGCATGGGGCTGTGTTGGGAGTGAAGGAGAATTGGACCAGGGTGTCCCTGAGGAAAAGGTCCCTGCAGAAAGTGAACAAGGGAGGGGAGGGGAGGGAAGAGGAATGTGTGTCTGGTGGTGGCTTCCTGCAGGAGGTGGCGGTAATGGTGGCTAATGATCCTCTGGATGTGGATGTTAGAGGGATAGTAGGTAAGGACAAGGGGAACACTATTGCTGTTATGGGAGGGAAGAGAGGGGGTGAGGACCCAAGTGCGAGAAATGGGTTGAACCCAGCTGAGAGCCTGTCAACAATGGTGCTGGGGAATCCTCAGTTGAGGAAGAAGGTGGACATTTTGGAGGCTCTCTTGTTGAAGTTTCTTTTTGGTTCTTCATTTCTTGATTAACTTGAAGCTATACCCTGTAGAATTCCTTGCCTACTATTACCTTTCCCTGACATCTGTTCCACTTTGCGCATTGTACATTGTTATTTAAGTTAATCATTTAACCCTGTGTACATATTTCAGGCAATACCTCTCTATACACAAACTCAGCTGTTACACTGAGTGAAGTCAATCATTTATTACACTGGAGCCTCTAGAGTTGAGCTGCTATGAATGCAGTGTGCTTCTATCAGCCTGTCTCCTTTAGCGTCTCCTTGTTAATGGTCTGACTTACTGAGGGATAAAGAGAGAACATGCAATTACAGAGCTCTTTCCATTTTCTCAGAATGTCTCAAAAATCACTTTACAGTGAATGAAATACCTTAGAATTATAGTCACCTGGAGCAAAACAGTGCAGCCATTTCTTTGCACAGCAGGATCCCACAAATAAGAGTGCGCTAAATCTCCAGAGCACCAGTTTTAAATGGAGGGGGTGGGGGGTTTAAAGGGAGAGAGTGACGACTGAGTCAAAGCTAATCCTGATTATTTATACACTTTTCTGTTTAAAACATACTTATTACACTGAGTACCTCAATGCTTCTAAGGGAAAGGCAAAAACTGAATAAACTACAACCAAAATCACACAAATAAATCCACCCAAGATTTACACATTGACTGATCAGTCAGTAACAACAAAACAGCAGACCACCGATGAGTTCAACAAAACCTGGGAATTACTAGGCATCACGAAGGTCCTGTTTTAAAATTGTACGGTTTCCCCTTTTTTTGTACATCCGAAGTTAAATCAGTAAGACAGAAGTTGAAGACCTGAGAATTTCCCAGCTTCTTCAGTGGAATAGAACCAAGGCTTAGACCATTATAACTGGGGCTGTTGGGAGAGATTTCCAGAAACACCATTTGGAGGCAGTGGACCTGTTTCATGACTTCTTTAAAACCTTGAGAGTTTTCCAGTGTGTTATCGCCATCTTGTGGTAGAAGAGGAAAGCTACAAAAAAAACTCTTCATTGATACAGGGTCAAGATTCACACGACACCAGGTTTTAGCTTGTGTCAAACTTGTGTTTTCAAGTAAACCTGTTGGACTATAACCTGGTGTCGTGTGATTTTTGACCTTGTTCACCCCAGTCCAACACCAGCACCTCCACATCTTCACTGATACAATCCTAGATTTGTCCAACTGTGTTTTTCATAGAGTCATACAACTCATCCATGCCAGTTGCTAGTAATCTAATTTACTTAACTTACTCGCTTTCTCTTTTCTTCCCCCACCTCCTCAAAGTGTTCATACATTGCTGGGGTGTTAGGGATTAACCTCTACCCATCCACAAGTATTCCCACAATTGTTGAATAATATATTTGCTAACTCTGCATGGACATACTCTGGACACTGAATAGCTTGAAACTCATTTCCAATGGAACAAGCAGTTTGCCCACTGATTTCCACTTGCAGTAAGGACCAGGCAACTCACTGTGGTCACACAATGTTGCTGGTGCTTACATGGTCACCTAGCTGCAGTAATAGAACTACCTCAATGATTACAAACTGGTGTTTACACAGTTACATGGCTGTAGCCACATAGTTAGCGGTTACACATTTACTTGACAACAGTTACACAGATAACTGGTTGATATAGGTCATGCGTTTGCATGACCGCATATAATAATCGATAATAATTCACCCCAATCTAAAACACAACTACACCTTGTCTAAACAGCTCCAGTTCAGCAGAGAGGGACAGTGCCATTTATTAAATTTGCTTCCATCTTCGCACCCATGCAAGTCTGTGAGGTCAATCTTTAATTCTGAAAACTTCAGGTCAAGCCAGATGGGTTGATAACTCAAGCTAATCAATCACGGGACCAGTAATCCCAACATGCTAATTAATGCTGGACAGTATTATAGTCTCATCATGGATATCATCCAGTCAGCACATGTTCTGCAGAATGTCATTGGATAACAATCAAACAGGGCCAATTTTACTTCTTTGAGACTGGCTTGTTAAAACAAACAGCAGGACACATACCACTACCCACACCAAACTCTCAGGGAGAGCAGCAAAGATCGGCCTAGTCAGCTGATCAGTTGACAAACTTGTCAAGCCACTGGGAAGGGTCTTCAAGAAATTTCTTTCCACAGCAACATTATACAACTTTCATTTGGTAAATAAATGGGGCAAAAGAAACCAAAACATTTTCAAAACATTCTCTGTAACACAGAAATGCAGTAGTCAGAGATTATACAGCAAAACCAGAAAATTAATATCCTAAATATAAGCAGGTTGCCAGATCTGAAATGGCAACTGAATGGATTAAATTGCAGGGAGTGGGGCTTGTGGACCGGTGAACAATATGGTTTGCATGTTTTATTGCTGTGTATCTTGCTAGTGACAGAGGTCCAACTTGAAATATGTACTACTATGGAATGCAGACAAGAATAAAGAAACAAAGTCTAGGACTGGACATGCTATTACAGGCAATACTGAGTCTCGTATGACTCTTCTTCAGAACTCTCTTTTCTGAAGTTCTGAAGAAGGGTCAGAACAAACTTGAAAGTTACTCTATTTCTCTCCACAGATGCTGCCAGATCTGCTGAGTTTTTTCAGCATACTCTGTACTTGTTTCAGATTTCCAGCATCTGCAGTATTTTGCTTTTATACTCTTACAGCTTCCTCCTAACCTTCACCTTCAACTACCTTCAATACATACCAACATACAAGTTAGGAGCAGAAGTAGGCTACTTGGTCTCTCGACCATGCTTTGTTATTTAATAACATTGTGGCTAATTTCATTGCAACCTCAACTCAACATTCCTGTCTAACCGCGATCATTTTTAATATCCTTTCTTATTGAGAATCTCTCCACCTCTGCCTTAAAAAATATTCAAAGATTCTGCTTCCCTAACTTTTGGGAAATGAGTTCTAAACCCTCAGAGAGAAGTTTTGCCTCAATTCTGTCTTAAAATTGGCCACCTCTGATAATTAAATGGTGACCCTGCCTAGTTGTAAATTTTCTCAAGATGAAACATCCTCTCCACATTGACCCTGTCAAGATTCCTCTTGATTTTAAATGCTCCAGTCAATACTGTTAGTTAACTAGATTCTCTTGACATTGTCTGGGGAGGAAACAGAGACATAAATACTGGCAATCTGTTCTAAAAAACGAGCACTCTGTGTAAAATTGCTAAATCTTAGCTGATCGTCCTCCCCTTTTAAAGCTTCTTTCACTTGTTCATGCTCCCTTGTTTTATGTAAATCAGAATCCACACAACATGGTAAAGTTCACTTGGTTATTCATTTAAATCCTCAGTACTGCAACAAAGTATCTGCTCTCCCCCCACCCCCAAAGTTTGAATGGCCCTGTCCAGTTCCTATGTTCTTTCCCAATTAAAGCTCATGTTTTTGTATCAGGTGCCTGGGTTATTGACCTCATTGCACATTGCAGCCCCAGATTTCTTTGTGGTTCAAATACAGGGAAATTTGAGTGATCCACATGTCAGTCATGCCCCACGCAAGTCAGAAGGCTGTGGGACCAAGTCCTTTTCCAGAGATTTGAGTGCAAAAACTCAGGCAGAAACTTCAGTGCTCAGCAAGTGCTGCTCTGTTGGAGGTGTCACCTTTTGGATTTGACATTTAGCCAAAGCTCTGTTGGATTTGTCAACTGGATGTTTAGAAATCCCACTGTGTTATTTTCAAGAACAGGGGAGTTCTCCTCAGCATTTTAGTCACAGAATCATAGCGATGTACAGCATGGAAACAGACCCTTCAGTCCAATCAGTCCACATCAACCAGATATCCTAAATTAATCTAGTCCTATTTCGCAGCTTCTGGCCCATATCCCTCTATCCCCTTCCTATTCATGTACCCATCCAGATGCCTTTTAAATGTTGTAATTGTACCAACTTCCACCACTTCCTCTGGCAGTTCATTCCATATACGCACCACCCTCTGTTTGAAAAAGTCGCCTTTTAGGTCCCTTTTAAATCCTTCTTCTCTCACCTTAAACCTATGCCCTCTAGTTTTGGATTCCCCCACCCTGGGGAAAAGACCTTGGCTATTCACCCTATCCATGCCCTTCATGGTTTTATAAACCTCTATAAGGTCACCTCTCAGCCTCTGACGCTCCAGGGAAAATAGCCCCAGTCTATTCAGTCTCTCCCTATGGGCTCAAACCCTCCAATCCCGGCACCATTCTTGTAAATCTTTTCTGTACCCTTTCAAGTTTCACAAGATCTTTCCTAGGCAGGGAGGCCCGAATTGAACATAGTATTCTAAAGGGGCTAAACCAATGTTGTCTAACATTAAACACTCGACCAACAAGGCAACAAGTCATTGACCAGAAACATTCGTCCTGTATTGCCAAACACAATGCTAAAGATTATTGGCATCATTTTCTATGTCTATTTCACTGAAAACAGATGTAGTTGGTCTTTGGTCATCACATTCAGTTAGTGGGAGCTTGCTGTACTGATATTGGCTGCTGCCACAGCAATGAAAATAATTCAACAGTACTCCTTTGGCTGTGATTTGCTTTGGGATGTCCTAAGATTGTGTATTTGACCTTTTAGTCTTTCTGGAGGAGAGCACCTGGTTCTTGTTTTCTGTCGAGAGGCTAGAAAAGCAACTTCAAACAGCAGGCTGGGCTCAGGCAGGTACAATTCAAAATCCATTCTAGTTGAGTTAGATGTGTGTTCCACACTGTTGACATCTGCTACAGAAAGCCCTCCTTCTGACTGATGCCAAGTCACCTTTCTCGGCACCCAAAGCATTAACGCAGGTCAGAGTACAGTTTCACATTCACTGGCCATCCTCCACTACATTGGGCAGGTAGTCATTCTTCATGCCTTGGTGCTGTGTTAGAGACTATTCAACCATGTTAGGTGTCACAACAAAGTCCCCAACTCTGATTCACAGTTGAACATGCCATCATAGATCTGTGCTTGCCTGTTCCAGGAAAGGAGGGTTTGGCACAGCCACTGGAGAGTGACAAGGAGTAAGGTTTCTGAATAATTTTTCCTGCTTTCTATAAAAGCACCATAGATCCATTTTGTACACGCACCATAGAAAGCATTCTATCATACTTTGATGGGTTGGTATGGCAACTACTCTGCCCAGGACCATAAGAAACTGCAGGCAGTTGTGAACACAGCCCAGTTTCTTGCTGCTTCAGGAAGTCAGCCAACATAATCAAACAGCCCTCCCACCCCGGTTACAGTCTTTTCCAACCTCTTCCGTCCTGCAGAAGATACAAAAGCTTAAATACCCGTACCAACAGATTAAAGAATAGCTTCTTCCCTGCTGTTATTAGACTTCTGAATGGACCTCGCAAATTTTAAATATAATGTTGACCTTGCTCTTTGTGCACCTTTTCTGCAGAGTTACACTGTTTTTCTAACTCTATTACCCTAAGACACTTAGTATGGTATGATCTGCCTGTATTGCACGCAAAACAAAACTTTTCACTGTACCTAGGTACATGTGACAATAATAAATTAAATCAAAATGGGTTATATCACAAAGCCTGCACTAGCCAGAAGCCTGATCAACGACAACTTGCAGTGACGCTAACCTGCCAGGGCCTGCAGTGTTGGGAATGAGTAGTAGGTGTACGAGTCCAGTTCACACAGCCTCTCTCCATAGATCTGGCACAGGCGCTCGATCATTCCACTGATACGTGAGATGTTGTTGTTGGAGGTGCAGATGAAAGAAAAGAGACACTCAGTGGGATCTTGCCGCAGGACGCGGACACCTGAAACAGCACAGAGCATGCTCAAGTTAGAAATAAATTCCTTATTCATTGCACAGCTGAATGCGTAAACTGTCCCACAATAACAAAGCGCATTCTCTTTCGCGCACTGAATGGTCACCTGAACGTAAGGCATTGGTTTATCTCATCATATGCCAGAAATTTTAGAATTTAAAATTATTCTTGGACTAAACGAGTTTAAGAAAATTTGCTGAGAAGAGCATTCTGTCTGCAAATGAAGCGACAGTGAAAGAAATGTCTTTATTTTTCATGTTTAGGACGTGAGCATTACTGGTGAGGCTGGCATTTACTGGCCATCTCTGGTCAGAGACAATTGAGGTAATCATGTAAAAGTGGATTGTAGCCATATAAAGGCCAGACTGGGCAACAGGTTCAGACAGGACCTTCATTGTCATTTTTATTGATCTCAGCTTTTATTATCTGTTTCTCAAAACTAAATTCAAACAATCAAACTAGCACGTGGGGATATTAACTCATGTTTCTTGAATTATTAGTCCTGTAACAGAATCACTATATTATCAGAAACACACACCGTGATAAGGACATAACCCACTAAAGTGCAGCACCAACCAGACCCTAGTACACAGCATTACAGACTGCCACCTACTGCAATACCCACATGGCCACTATAGAGCAGAACCCACCATCCCATATTAAAGATTAGGACTGGCATAACCCACTGCACTACTCACATAGCCACCAATTTCTGAATCTTTGGTCACTACCCAAGAGTGACCTTTTGTTTCCTCTGTTCTAGATTTAATTATTCAGCTTTTTTTTTCATATTTACTCATGGGGTGTGTGCATCATTTGTGAATTATAAATTTCCCAGAGAGGAGCTAAGTATCAACCACATTGTTGTGTATGTGGAGTCAAGTGTAGGCCTGACCAGGAAAGGATGGCAGATTTCCTTCCTAAACAGGACCCAAATGAACCATTTGGGTTTTTACAACAATTGACAGTGGTTACACGGTCACAATTAGATCAGCTCTTTATTCCAGATATTTATTGGATTTAAATTCCGCTATCTACCAATGATGGGATTGGAACCCACGTACCCATGATCTGCACTGCTAGTCTAGTGACAGTACAATTTCACTACCTCCCTGCAGCCTCTAGTTAAGACTAGAGCAGCAAGACTAATAGAGATCGCTTAGGACTGCACCCCAGTTTCAGAATAGGATCAAACCATCAGCCCTTAAGCCTGCTCTACAATTCAATTGGATAATGGCTGCTCTCTTTCTTAACTCCTTCTACCTGTTTGATTGTCTCTCTTGATATCACTTCCTACCAAAATCTGAAAATCTCAGTTTTAGAGTTGTCAATTGATCCCAAGCCCCAGTAGCCTTTTTAAAGAATCATCAATGGGTGGCATGGTGGCTCAGTGGTTAGCACCGCTGCCTCACATCACCAGGGACCCAGGTTCGATCCCACCCTTGGGCAACTGTCTATGTGGAGTTTACACATTCTCCCCATGTCTTTGGGGGTTTCCTCCCACAGTCCAAAGATGTGCAGGCTAGGTGGATTGGCCATGCTAAATTGCCCATAGTGCCCAGGGATATGTGGGTTATAGGGGGATGGGTCTGGGTGGGATGCTCTGAGGGTCAGTGTGGACTTGGTGGGCCAAAGGGCCTGTTTCTATGATAGCCTTTTGGAGGGAGAACTTTAGATTTTGACATCTTCTGTAGTATGTGCTTTCTGTCATCACATCCGAATGATCTTATCCTAAAAATAAATTATTTGCCTTTTTCTGCACTTGTCCAACCAGCGAAAATAATTATTTACTCTATTAAATCTTATTAACATCTGAAAGATCTAAACTACATCACCTGTTAATTGACAAACTGTGAGGGACCAGAAGGCTAGTCTAAGCAGTTTACCCGCATTATTTCATCCTGTTAGCTTACTGGAATGTTTCAGGTACAACTTCATCATTCTCCTCCTTCCAAGTAAAAAAGAAATCTGAATTTACATTGAAATGATACACCCTAACACCAACCCAACAGATTGCTATTTAACTGGACTATGTAAGTTAACATTGTCAAAACAGAACAGCACTGTGGCTCAGGGTCAATAAATGCGGATCTGGAAAAGCACAGCAGGTCAGACAGCACCCAAGGAGCAGCGAAGTCAAGGTTTCGGGCCGAAACCCTTTGTCAGGACTGGGGAGAGGGAGCGGAGCCCAGAAATAGAGGGAAAGGGGTGAGTCTGGGGTGAGGGTAGGTGGGGTGGTGATAGATGGATGCAGGTAAGGGGTTATTGTGGGAAGGGTGGAGCAGATAGGTGAGTTGGAAGATGGACAGGTTCGGGGCAGAGATATTTTGAAGCTGGTGAAATCAATACTCAGGCCATTGGGCTGTAAGCTCCCAAGGCAAAATATCAGACGTTGTTCCTCCAGTTTACATGTGGCCTTGCTCTGACAGTGGGGGAGGCCAAGGATGGACATGTCACCAGGGGAGTGGGAGGGGGAGTTAAAGTGGATGGCAACCGGAAGGTGGGGTTGGTTGGTGCATGCAGAGCTCAGGTGCTCCGTAAACTAGTCCCCAAGTCTGTGTTTGGTCTCCCCGATGTAGAGGAGACCACATCAAGAGCAATGGGTACAGTAGATGAGGCTAGATGAAGTACAGGTGAATCTCTGCCGGATTTGGAAGGATTGTTTAGGGCCTTGAAAGGAGGTGAGAGAGGACGTGTAGGAGCAGGTGTAGCACGTCCTGCAGTTGCAGGGAAAGGTACCGGGTGTGGTGCAGGGGTTGGTGGGAAGTGTAGACCTGACAAGGGAGTCACGGAATGAATGGTCCCTGCGGAAAGCAGACAGGGCAGGGGAGAAGAATATCTTTTTGGTGGTGCAGTCTGATTGTAGGTGACAGAAAAGTCAGAAGATGATGCATTGTATTCAGAGGCTGGTGGTTTGGTATGTGAGGAATAAGGGTACTCTACCCTTATTGTTGTTTGGGGGAGAGGGTTTGAGGGCAGAAGCACAGGAAATAGGGGAGATGCGATTGAAGGGATCCTTAATAACAGAGAAGGGGAAACTACAGTCCCTAAAGTAGGAGGATGTCTGGGTAGTCCTAGAGTAGAATGCCTTATCCTGGGAGCAGATGCGGCAGAGGCAGAGGAATTGACAGTATGGGACAGCATTTTTGCAGGAGGGTGCGTGAGAGGATGTGTGGTCAAGGTAATTGTGGGAGTCAGTGGGTTTGAAACGGATATCAGTGGTGAGTCGATTACCAGAGGTGGAGAGGTCCAGAAAGGGGAGGGAGGTGTCAGAAATGGTCCAGGTGAATTTATGGGTGTTGGTGAGGTTGATGAACTGTTCAAACTCCTTGCGGGAGCACAAAGCAGCACCAATATAGTCATCGATGTGGCTCAGGATCAGATCCTGATTACGAATGCTTCTGTGACATGCCTTGGGATGTTTCTAAATCACACCAAAAGATAAGCATGAATGTATCCCTAACTAAATTAGGGAATGTAGTGATTGGAACCAGGTTGACTATAGGATCATTGATTGGGGTCGTTACCCTGGGCCAATCAGCAAGCCCAGACTGACCAATATAAACAGGGGATTTAGCATCTCCTCAGTTTAGGAAACTGACTCTGAGCTGGTGGGTCATTGCCAGCGTACTGTGCACAAGTAAATAAAGGGTTACTTGGTGACAGAATACTGGCCTCAGGTGTTATTTCAGATAGATAGCCAATCACAGTGGTATAGGATGTCAGTGGTGGATCTTGTGGTGCAGGGTAGTGTCCCCATCTCTGGCTAAACAGGTCCAGGTTCAAGTCTCACCTGCCTCCAGAGGTGTATCATAACATGTCTGAGCAGGTTGATTTAAAAATCATTTACAGGTCCTCTGTTCTTGTAGTTAAAATACGTGTTAATTGGAACTTAAAGTTTTGTGTCTCGAGGCATTGAAAATTCTATAAAATGGGTATATTCCAAGTTTGTATTTCCTTGGGGAATTTTGAACGAGGGGCTGGTGATTTAGGACTAACATGAGGAAAAGTGTCCTACGTCTGCAACATAGGAAAACAAAGCCCTTCAGCCCATCGTGTCTGTATCGGTCAAAAATAACCACTGAACTATTCTAATCCTTTTTTCCAGTATTTGATCAATAGCATCACATGCCTTGGCATTGCAAGTGTACATCTAAATACTTCTTAAACGTTATAAGGGTTTCTGTGTTGTGGTGATACTATGGCTTTAAGAGGAGTATTTTGTCCTTTTTTTTTAAACATGAAGGTTGACACAGAGGTTCCGAGCATTCTGCTCAAAGCCAACAAAGTAAACGGCTTGTGATGTCTTTCTTTTTAAAGTTGGAACTATACAAGCAGTCTGAATGGGTGGTGTCAAGCTCCCACAGAACCAAGACTTTTCGTTGCAGCTTTCAGCTGTTGCTGGGACTTTGAAGCTGGTTGCGGAAGCTGTTATTCCTCTCTCTGTTACAGCTAAAAGCTAGGGTTCTATTCCTGCTGCTGGATCTGCATGTGAAACAATCCATTTTACTGAATTGCCTTTGCCAAGGGTGTGTTTATGGGATGTTACTATATTGGAACACTTAATTAGTAGTGGTTAATACATATAATTTTGTTAAGCATTTTGATAGTTACAGTTTATTGTTTATTTTATTTTTATTTTGGCTGTATTTTAACTAGTGTAAAAATAAACTGCGTTTTGCTTAAAGTTGAGTAGATTGACCAATCAAATTGCATCTGGAACGCAACACCTTACCTTTAAATTAAAGAAAAATTAGGGCCTGGGCTATCTAATTAATATATCTTGAGGCGGGTACGTTCTGGTCTATAATAGCCTTTATCACCCTTACAGGCCGCAAGTTTGAGATTCCCACCACCCTCTGGGTGAAATACATTTTCCTCACATCTCCTGTAAACATCCCTTACCTTAAATCTATGCTCCTGGTCTTTGATACCTCTGTCAATGGGAAAAGTTTCTTCCTGTTTATCTTGTCTATGTCACTCATAACTTTATACAGCTCAATAATGTCCCCTCTTAGTCTCCTCAGCTTCGACGAAAACAACACCAGTCTATCCAATCTCTCCTCATAACTTAAGCTCTCCAGTCCAGGCAACATCCTCGTAAATCTCCTCTGTACCCTCTCCACAGCTATTACATCCTTCCTATGATGTGGAGGTGCCAGTGTTGGATTGGGGTGGACAAAGTCGGAAGTCACATGGCACTAGGTTATAGTCCAACAGGTTTATTTGAAATCACAAGCTTTTGTCATCTGACGAAGCTGCAGCGCTCCAAAAGCTTGTGATTTCAAATAAACCTGTGAACAATAACCCAGTGTCGCATGACTTCTGACAACATTCTTCCTATGATGTGGATTCCGGAATTGTACACAATACTCTACTTGTGGCTAACCAATGCACTTTACAGTTCCAGCATCATTTTCCTGCTCTTAATCTCTACGCTCACTTAACAAAGGTAACCATCCCATGTACCTTCTTAAACATCCTACCTGTTCCACTACCTTAAAGACCTGGTCGACATTCACATACTTCTCTGATCCTCGATGCTTCCCTGGATCCTACTGATCATCATGAATTCCCTTGCATGTTTGTGCTGCTCAAGTGTATCACCTCACATTTATCCAGATTGAATTCCATTTTGCACTGACCAGCCCATCAAAATTCTCCTGCAATCCAAGGCTATCCTTCTGACTATTTACACCCCTCCTTGTGTCTCAATTCTAGATTCTCCCATGAGGAGGACATCCATTGAGCTTCCCTCAATACTGCTCTTATTCTTCAAACAGAAAGTATCTTCTAATAATCAGCGTTAGACTAACGTTCTATATGGTATGTGCAATGCTGGGTGACAAAATATCAATCAGATCTTCAAATGAACACACGTACTAGCCATTCTGTTAGAACGTTAACTATTGAATTCCTTCAGGAACCCACCCACCAGGGAAATCTTGTGCTACTCGCTCAAAGTGTTTGTCTGCTTGACTCCAATGTGAGTAGAGCTCCGAGAGGCAGACATGCAACTGAAAGTAATCGGTTAAAATCCTGCATTCCTCTTCATCTGCAGCACTGCATTCCAACTTCAATCGTCCAGGTATGGTATCATGCACATGCTGTACGGGTTCCATTTTCACTTCAGAAAACTTCATCTCTGCTGCTTGGAAATTTCCATCTTCATCTTTAATTTGAGCCTCAGTTTCATTTTCCTTTTTCACTTTAACATCTATTGTGTTTGTGGAAAGTCCTTGTCTCTGTTGGTTTTTCGTTGACTCTTCAATGGCATTTTCTGCCTCCTCAGAATAGGTCCGATACCAGATCTTATCCTCTGTCTGCGTCAGGGTCCATACACGATTAGCTAAGACACCTGTCCAGTGCCCAGGGCTCCTCTCCTGCCAACTGCAACAGAAAATCTTCGTTTAGACTGGTGCTGATTACATTTGCCTGCTGCCTTTTAGTTCCAACTACTTGCTGGCTCCTGAAACACCATTATTAGTATTGCCCTTCAGGTCCCATGGTCCTCTAGCTCAATTACAAGTCCTGTCATCTCTCACTCAAATTTAACCTTCCTCCTCAGCTCTCAGGGCCTCAATTGAAAATGTCAGGAGCCACCCTTACAAGACACACTGTCTAGCCTGTTTAATCTCAAAGGAATCAAAAGAATTGGGAATGAATTTTCCCATTCTTCAGTATGTGGTAACAAAGGCAGGGTCTCTCTCTCTTCGGTGACCTGAACTTTGCTTCAAGAGGGTATGGTTTTGGCAATGAGGGAAGGGAATGGCAGCCTTTCCCCTGGTGAAGGCATGTACGCTAAACTGAGCCCAGGGCAGGATGCAGAAATAGGGTTTAGTCCCTGATTTTCTCCCTTTACTATGCAGAGATTTTGGATGGGAGAATCGAGTAAAACTCAGTCATCAGGTCATACAGCACAGAAACAGACCCTTCGGTCCAACTCGTCACGTTGACCAAGTTTCTCAAACTAAACTGGTTCCACTTGCCTGCATTTTGCCCATATCCCTCTAAACTTGTCCTATTCACGAACTTATCCAAATGTCTTTTAAATGTTGTAATTGTACGTGCATCTATTACTTTATCTGACAATTCATTCCACACACTCTAGGACACAGTGCCAGTAACTATGAAGATGAAGGGAAATGGTGGCTGGAGTTACAAGTGTGAATGCTGTACTGATCCTGTGGAATAGTCTCACAAGCTGCAGACTCTGGCATGTAATTTGGAGCTGTATTACTGGAGACAGAATCTTTACATGCCATTCAACCCATGCCATTACTGAAATAAAAACAGAAAACGACAGAATTACTCAGCAGTTGAGGCAATATAAATGGAGCGAGAAACAGAATGCACGATTCAGGTCAATGTCTTTTCATCAGAGTCATACGATAACTGGCCTTGGAGTGTTCGATAAGGTGTAAAGCTCTATACCATGATCCATTTATATCTGACCTGGTTTTGTTTCATTCTAAGGTTACACACCAGTTGTGTTATTCACATGTGCTTGTGTTTTCACTGGAATTAATTCTATAATGGTGAAGCACACTCATCCCATTCCAACTGACATCAAGCCTCGTCAACATAAACTCACCGGAATGACTGACCACAAGAAAGGACGATGTCAAGCCTCAGTTCAGAGCGAGTGCAGGGGATGAAGTTCCACAGAGCTGGGTCTGTAGTCAGTGTGGCATGTCGCTGCATTACTTTATAAGTTGAACAGCAGCTACACTTGTAAAATATTTTACCCTGTAAAAACATTCGAATGAAGAGATGTTACAAGAAACATAAAAACTCAATTTCAGGAGAAGTGCACAGAGAAACACTTCATATTTCAGCACAGTGACTTTCATCAGACTCGTAAATGTCACAGATGAAACAAATCTTCAGCAAATACAGAGGCAGGGACAAGTATGAAAAAGGGGAAATAGAACAAAATAGAAAATCTACGGTGAGATAGAAGGCAAAGTGTCTGAATGAATCACAGAATCCTACAAGGCCATTCGACCCATCAAGTCCGCACCGACCCTCCTAAGAGCATCTCTCCCAGACCCAACACCGTGCTCCCCCCTCCCCTCCAAATTGTACTTAGCAAGGCCAATCCACCTAACCTGCACGTTTTTGAACTGTGAGAGAAAACCACAGCACCAACGGAAACCCACACAAACACAGGGAAAATACGCAAACTCCACACAAACAGTCGCCCAGGGAGGAATCGAACCCAATAGAAGCTCAGGGTCTTGCGTGTAAACCAAACACAGCTGTTCAGAAGAGGACAAAAATGAATAGTTCAGGGGAGACAGTAATTTTTAATTCACTAATTTTTGCCACATCAGTAAGCTGAGCATGGTGGCCATCACCAAGGAAAAGGTGCTAGTAAAACTGATTGGCCTGAAGGTGGACAAACCACCTGGACCAGATGGACTACACCCAGAGTGCTAAAGAAGATAGCTGAGGACATAGTGGAAGCATTAGTGGTGATCTTTCAGGAATCACCAGCGTCAGGGAGGATCCCAGAGGACTGGAAAATCGCCAACGTGACACCCCTGTTTAAAAAGGGAGTAAGGCAAAAGACGGAAAATTACAGGCCGATTAGCCTAACCTCGGTCGTGGGTAAGATTTTGGAGTCCACTGTAAAGGATGAGATTTCTGAATATTTGGAAGTGTATAGTAAAATAGGGCAAAGTCAGTACGGTTTCATCAAGGGGAGGTCATGCCTGATAAATCTGCTAGAATTCTTTGAGGAAGTAACGAGCAGGGTAGACCAAGGAGAGCCAATGGATGTTATCTACGTGGGCTTCAAGAAGGCCTTTGATAAGGTGCCACACAGGAGGTTGCTGAGTAAGATAAGGGCCCACGGTGTTAGAGGCAAGGTACTAGCATGGATAGAAGATTGGTTGTCTGGCAGAAAGCAGACAGTGGGGATAAAAGGGTCTTTCTCAGGAGGGCAGCTGGTGACAAGTCGTGTTCCGCAAGGGTCAGTGTTGGGACCACAACTTTTCACTTTGTACATTAATGATCTAGATGAAGGAACTGTGGGCATTGTGGCTAAGTTTCCAGACGATACAAAGATAGGTGGAGGGACAGGTAGTATTGAGGAGGTGGCAAGGCTGCAGAAGGACTTGGACAGGTTAGGAGAGTGGGCAAAGAAGTGGCAGATGGAGTACAACGTGGGAAAGTGTGAGGTCATGCACTTTGGTAAGAAGAACAAAAGCATGGACTATTTTCTAAATGGGGAGAAAATTCAGAAGTCTGAAGTGCAAAGAGACTTGGGAGTTCTAGTCTAGGATTCTCTCAAGGTAAACTTGCAGGTTGAGTCAGTAGTCAGGAAGGCAAATGCAATGTTGGCATGTATTTTGAGAGGACTGGAATATAAAAGCAGGGATGTACTACAGAGGCTTTATAAGGCTCTGGTCAGGCCACATTTGGAGCATTGCGTGCAGTTTTGGGCCCCATATTTCAGGATGGATGTACTGGCCCTGGAGCGGGTTCAGAGAAGGTTCACGAGAATGGTCCCAGGAATGGAAAGCTTAACATATGAGGAAGGTTTGAGGACTCTGGGACTGTACTCATTGGAGTTTAGAAGGATGAGGGGGGATCTAATTGAAACTTTCAAAATACTGAATGGCCTGGACTAAGTGGATGTTGGGAAGATGCTTCCATTGGTAGAAGAGTCTAAGACCCGAGGGCACAGCCTTAGAGTAAAGGGAAGACCTTTTAGAACGGAGATAAGGAGAAACTTCTTCAACCAGAGAGCTGTGAATCTATGGAATTCACTGCCACAGAAGGCTGTCGAGGCCACGTCATTGAGTACATTTAAGACTGAGATAGATAGGTTCTTGATTATCAAGGGGATCAAGGGTTTCAGGGAGAAAGCAGGAGAATGGGGTTGAGGAACTTATCAGCCATGATTGAATGGCGGAGCCGACTTGATGGGCCAAATGGCCTAATTTGTGCTCCTATATCTTACGGTCTTATAGTATCACTGGATTAATTGCCCCGAGAAAGTGGTAGTAGCTACCTTCTAGAAACATCGCAGCAGCTGGCTCAGTTAATTCATAAAGTGTTAATCACATTGATATGGGACTCAGTCAATGTGAGAATAGCAGATTTCCTCCATTCAGGATATTAGTGCATCTTTTCGGCTGTCATTATTGTTACTAGTTAATTTAATTCGTCAAATAAGATTTAAACTCCAGTGAATTATTACTGTAGTATTATAACCACCATATACCTATTTTTGGAATCACTAAACTGTACAAAGACAGCAGGAGATCATTCAGCCATCCTGTCTCTGCAACAGCAACTCAGCTAGTCACAGCCCTCTATTTGAGACATTGGCCGGAGTTTAAAATGCAATACACAGACACAGGTACTGACTCCCATAGTTTTGTCGGAAAATGACAAGGTAATTGGGGAAAAAAACGATGAGTAAACTTGAAAAAAAGGGAATAGAAATTTTACAATGGGAAAACCCAAACAGATTAGTTCAGATCAGACGCCCATATTAGCCAGCGCCTCCCATTCAATTCCAGCTCAACACCCTGACCCCGCCCCTTCATGTCACTCAGAGATGAACCCCGCCCCCGGAGACACA